GATGAACCACAAGAAAGCTTAGAAAACAAGGTGGAATTGGTAGGGTGGGGCTCGACTCCTCAGGGCCTGGCCAGCCAGGCAGCTGAGTGTGGCTTCTAATGGGTTGGTAAGAGCATCATGAGCCAGAGCACTCTGGGTTCTGTGCAGAAACTGGAGGTTACATGCATGAATCTGGCAAGATGTGGTTTGCATCAGTCCTTTTTTTTTTTTTTTTAAGTTTATTTATTTTGAGAGACAGAGAGAGAGCCCATGCATGTCAGCAGGGGAGGGGCAGGAGGGGGAGGTGGGGGAGAATCCCAAGCAGGATCCATGCCCAGTGCAGAGCCCAAAGGGATGCTTGATCCCATGAACCACAAGATCACGACCTGAGCTGAAATCAGAGTTGGACACTTAACCGACTTGAGCCACCCAGGCACACCGGCATCAGTGTTTTTGACTTTAACCTTCTTTTTCTAGTGGGAGCACTTCAATTTCCTTTAGATCTGCTATTTTGCCCCTGTGGTACAGTGACCCTGGGGTTCAGGGATGGGTGGGATCTCGAACTAGATCCAGCCAGTGGAGAGTCTTAGAAAATGTTGCCAGTGATATAGCCAGTGACTTGTGCTGGAGCTGTTACTATCTTTCTTCTGTGGTTGCTGACCAGGTGAGAGCAAGCCTTACACTGCCAACACTATCCTGTTGCTGAAGGCGGGCGGGGGGAGTCTGTCTGAGAATCAAACCGATGCAGAGGAAAGCAGGGCCAAAGGACGAGAAAGACACCTGATGACATCATCTCAGCACCTGGATCCAGCTGAGCCTGAAGTGGGACCTGTTTCTGAGCTCTCCGGTTACATTCAGCCAGTTTCATTTAGGTTCCTGCCACTTGGAACCAAAGGAGTCCTGATTAATGGGATGGCTCAGAGTGGGAGGAGATGAGTCAGCGTGGCCACCCCAGCAAGTGTGGCAGGAATTCAAATGTGAGGTACTGAGGGTCTGAACCTCTGGGGGCTGAGAGGAAAGGATGTGAGTCCAAGCACTGAGAAGGAAGCATCTAGACTTTCCCCTCTCTTCAAAAGTTGTGCGATCAGTGTCTAATGACTCTTTATCACCTCTTCCTCCAGGAAACCTCTGTACTTCTCTCTTTCATTTGGTTTTGACAGCTTAGTGAAGCAGATATTCTCATCCTCACTTTATAGCATGGAGAAGTTAAAGAACTTGCCTAAGGTCCTATGGGAACTCTGGGGCCTAGTTCTGCTCCTCTAGCTCATGCTGGAAGGGCTCTGTGGATACTGTACGAAGTCACCAGGCACTGTCTTTGTGTCACCTTAGCATGGAGATACACCCCCACCCCAGGGCAGGGAGAAACAGTAGGAGTTCTTACTGAGGAAAGGCCTGGGAGCCCATGACCCTTTTCATTAAAAATAAATTCTGCCTGAGTCTCCTGGTTCTAAATAGAAGAAAATGTAGATTTGGGGCAGAACCGAAGGGAAAGGGATTTCCCTTGGCAAATTATTTGCAATTTGTGGATTGGAGCTGACCCAGCTCCGATTCCCACGTGATTGTGAGTGCTGCCTACAATGTGACCAGCTTATTAAAGAGCCAGAGCTGAAGGCAATCCTCTCACGGGGGCTCAACAAAACAGGAACAGAGTTAAAACCCACCAGCTTCCTCCCCACGGTGTCTCATGCCTAGGATCTGCCTAGATTCTCACCCACAGGTTATATGTCGACTCCTGGACAGCCACGTCTTTTGGCTGTAGGAATAAGAGCGAGCATAGATTTGGTTGGTTTACGCCTTTCCTTAGGCATTATGCAAAGCTCGCTGTCGTTAAGTCCTGAAGTCATGGTCCTCGGACTATGCCATGTAGGTGAGTACGTGTACTTAAGTACCACTGCCAGAAATTCTTAGTTGGGGCCTACTGTCTGCCTTCTTACTAGGCATCCCAGGTGATTCTGAAGCAGGTGGTCCAGGGACCACTGTCTGAGAAACAGTGATGTAGGTGGACAAGTACGTTCACTCCAAGTGGCCCCTTTACCAGTTTTAAAGATGCTGCTGTCGCTGGCACAAGTCCTGAGACATCTAGCACCTCCTTCATTACTGACACGGCCTACTACTCACTGGCATAATTTGAGGGACATACAGAAGGTTTTGTTGACTAAGAATATCTCTGAGGAGCTACTGAATCTAGAGAGTGAGAGCGTGAGCCACTGAGAGAGGCACAGTGCAGTGTGTTCAGTGCAGAGCCCAACGTGGGGCTCCATCCCATGACCCTGGGATCATGACCTGAGGTGAAATCGAGAGTCGGACACTTAACCGGCTGAGCCACCCAGGCGGCCTCCAGTACCCCATTTAGTGAACAACTTACGGAGACCAGACTCTCTGTGTTTATTTGTGCGTGTGTGTGTGTACAAGTGTGTGTGTGTGCACGTATGAAGGAAAAATCCCAGTGCGGCACACTTACAGCACAGTAGAGCGTAATCGCAGTTTGTTTGTCCTCATGGTCCAGCCTGCCGGAGCCCTGGGCTCTCCTCCGTCACCTTTCTCTGTCCCCATGCATTGTACCAAAGATGTAGAGACCCAGGGAGAAAGGCTTTTAAAGAGTCTCATGTGAGTCTTTCCTTCCTTAGGGCACCTCTATTAACAAAATCCTAAAGAAAGCCAATGGATTTCTGTTTCCCCATCCATCCTGTTACATGTCACCATCCTTCTCAAATTAACCATGAAATCGATGGGCCAGGTGGCCCACGGGCCCTCAAATAAAATTGACTGCATGTGAAATGCATTTGAAAATTCCATTTATTAAAACAAATACATTGTCCATGGGGGATGAAAATTTGCACATCACATTCAGGTTTTCCTTCTTTAACATTTCTGTATTTTCCTCTCTTTGAAAGACACACTCCATAGATCTTATATAGGAAAAATGTGAACCATTCTTGGGTTGGGAATATATTAATGTATATGTAACAATTCACCTTTGCCAGGAGCAGCTTAAAGCAAATATTAAAAAAAAATACAAAACTCTAAGACAGCATGCTTGATTTCCTCAATTCCCATTTGTGAATAGGAGTATATGGATAAATTGATTTAATTTCTCCTTGGTAAGCAATCTCTTTCAAATATTATTATTAAAATTACCCTCAGATCAAAGTACTTTTTTGCAACCTCTAATTAAAATTAAATAGTACTTGGTTTAAAATCGAAAAAAAAAAAAAGAAATTGGAATATTGAGGATGATAAAAGATATTTTTCCCCCTAAATATGAGGGTTATTGTTACTGTTTAAACTAACTGCATGGCAGATTCTCATTACTATCCAATACATTATATGCAGATATTAGGGCCTTGAATAATTAAGTTTTCCTATTGGTTATTCCTTAAGATAAAGTCATGCTGGTGGAAATGATCGGTGAACTTCTAACAGAATTAAAGCTCTTTAGAGGTATAAGTCATCAAAAGATTTCTTTTCCCCTTAACAAGTAAAAATACCAATAAGCAAAAACGCATATAAAGACTCTGGTAGTATAATTCCATACGATAGGACATGAAGGTACGACAAAGCCAAAACATTTTCCTTAAACGTAATTTCAGATGGGCTGTGTGTTCTCTGCCTTCTCTCTTCTTTTGTAAACAAGGTCGCACACACTTTGGAACTGCCTTAACTTTTCTAATTACCAGAGCCGTATTATGGTGCATCCTTCAAGTTTTAGTTCCATCTTAACTGCTCCAAAGATCTAGATTCACATAAAAACATAAAGAGCCCCTCTAAGAAACATAAATGATGTGGATTATGAAAATCCTTGGGGTCTCGCAACGACACCTTAATCACCACCAAAAGGTGCTTCATTCACAGTTGTTTTTGTGTGACTACATGGCCAATTCATGTTTTGACTAATTTTAAAAATGTGATACGGTTTTAGTTGATTCCACGGTAATACTAAGCTAATGGTACAATATGGTATGTGGTTTAAAAACTACTCTGCCAAGGTCTTCCCACTGTATCTGCATTAGTGTCTCACTGATTGTAACAACACCCCAAGGTTTGAACAGCAGTATCTGGTTACAGAAGTACATTCATACCTTTTGCAAATGTTTCAGCAGTCCCTTTTCCTGGCCCCAGGCGTGAGCTTTAATTGGATGTACTTATTCTTTTGCCATCATGCCCATAAAAGGAGCTAAGGAAAATATTTACTGTCTCAAAACCTGTCCTTGGCATATTAAGCTTTTACATCTTTTTTCCTTCCTTTCCTTTTTTTTTTTTTTTTTTTAACAGAAGGAAGAGAATGGAAAGAGAATAGAATGAATTTGGAAATGGTTTTCGTGAAATCAAAGTAAACAGTGAGATGTAAGAGAGGTCCTCTTTTGCCTGGGAATGGCACAGAAAAAAAGTGATGCAGGCTTCCAGGACCTTCCATTACTGATGAAGGCTAGAGCTGTAAGGAAAAATCACTTTCAAGATCATCTCTTGGGAAAAGAGGGCTCTAGCTGCCAGGAAGTTGTAAATAAAGACTGAGAGACTCTAACAAACAAGATGGAAAACAAAACCAGAAAAGGTTCTACTGAAAAATCTGCTGAGTGAAAAGCAAAGACCATCTCAGTGGCAAAAAAGAGCCAGAACCTTTCTGATGTTGCTGGCTGAGGGGGCCGCACCTGCCCCCTTCTCCCTGGCAGTGAACAGCCAGGATGCTGAGAATGGGTCTTCTCTGGAGCCATCCAGGTTTATTTCTCCTGGTACTTGAACAAACAGAAAGTGTTCTTGAATCTAGAATTTCCACAATTCAGGGAAAGATGAAATTTGCCCTTACTCTAACAAAAGCACCTCCCAACTGATGCTGAATCCTTCCCTGTCCTGTTCAGTGGTTCCTGTGCTGTCCTGGATCCTGGACACAACCAAACTGCTTTGGATTCTGGAAAATGCGTCGAAGAGGCGTATACGCCACTGTGAACTCAGAGGTATTTTAGGCATGGCTAAGGCGCTGAAGTGATCTCAGTTTTCAAGAGACTGAGATTTTTCTTCTCCAGCTTTTCTCCTCTCGCGTTCCTGTTCCAAACTTCAGAGTGAAACAACAAACCTTCTGAATGGATGTAACATAGGGACGTTTTCATGCAGTATCACTCAAAAATTGTCACAAATATATGAAAGCACCAGTCACAACACATGATTTACTTTTACTTGCAGAATCAAAGCTATCATGTACAAATGTTAGGAATTGTGATAAGAGAACACAGACAACCGGCGTTTTTTTGTTGTTACTACCATGAGGATAAACCACGGGGAACATCTCCTTACATGTTTGGGTTCTCATCCTTGGAGTTCAGTCTTACGGACAAGTCCAGTCTTACCTTTGTACTACTCTAATGGGAAGGGGTGGAAGGAGAAAAGAAAAAGGCACAAAGACTAAACATCAATGCCATAAAACCGAACTGCGGCTACACTGGACAATTCAGCTTATCAAAGGGTATGCTAAAGGCAATATTCATTCCAAGAAGGTCATACACATCTTAGCTCAGTACGGCTGTCTGTTTTGATTTTTTTTTTTTTTTTTTTTTAATATGAAGCAGAAACATAAGGTGTGGGGAGGGATAGCAGAAAAGAAATGACGCGGATTTTATCTTTACAGATTCCCCCTCCTCCAGGCAGTTCTGCAGATATCAGATCTCTTAACTTGGGATGTGGTTTGGCGATCATTCTCATAAAGGGGACCAGTTCTTTAAACATGCATAGCCTGGAGTTTCCAGGATGGTTCTCCTCCCTCTCTTTAAATGCTGTGGACTAGAAAGGCGCCCACTTTGCTAAGAACTCTACATCAGTGTCCCAGGAGCCTGGCGGCTCTTCAGGCTCCTCACGAAGGCTTAAAGGATGGCGCAGAAAAACTTCTTCTCCCTAAATGGGTTTTCTGAAGCCGGGACGGGGGTCAGCAGGGGGTCTTCCTTGGCATGGGCCTCACAGTAGGCCATCAAGTCTGCAGCTGCCTTGGATACCTGGAAAGGAGGACAAAAAACAACCGGATGTTTAGACGCGGCATCGGCAGAAGCATCCGTGGCTTCCATCAGTCAAGGCCCAGACTTCAGAGTCCAGCTGCCTGGAAGGATTTGGGCTCAACTCCACGCTGCACTGCTCACCAGCTCGTGTGAAAGACAGGCGGGCGCTCAACCTCCATAGGCTCCGTTTCCCGGTCTGCAAAGAAGGGAGTTGGTGATCATGACCTCTCAGGACTGTCTCCAGCAGTCCCGGGAGTAGGCCCAGGCGAGTGAGGCCCTTAGGGCACAAACGGAATGGGGTGCTCACTGCTAAGGTCACGTGAGGATCAACCCTGCATGCGCACAACCCTGACAGTGGAGGTCTCCTGAGATTTGTGCCTCAGGTACCTTACTAGGTGCCTCATCATAGTCCCAGCCCTGGCTGCAAGGATTAAGTGAGTTAATCCACACAATTTACGTAGTGCCTGGCACATGTAGGCTTTCCATCCAGGCTAGCTATTATTATCATTTCATAGTTGTGCCTTCTTGCTTCGGGAACTGTGTTAGGATGCAGAAAGGCTTGTTCATTTCCTTTTTAAACAAACACAGCAGGATGTGCACAAACACAAAAAATGCACATAACTTTATGTATTCTTATATTTTTACAAATTCTATGTTATATATTCTTATACATATATAATTATGTATATATCTGATAAATACATATTATTCCTTCAATCGAGCACTGTATCCTTGAGGGAGTCCCATTACAAGGCTGGTCATTGATTTCAGCGATACTGTTATTTCTCACATTTCTGTAGCTTCTTCTTGGGAATTGTCTGGACTACCTTCCTTCGACCAGTCTCGACAATGGCAAATTTTCACTACTTGAGGGTGGACTTCATTTGGTAAAATAAACTAAAGGTCATTTATAACCACATCTGGGGACTAGGTGGATGATCCACCTGAGGAATGGTATTTGGGCTCAAAAACCATAAAGTTAAGAGTTGGTTTCTTACAGGACATAATATACTTGCTCTAGAGATCACTCCAAAAGATTTTCAATATCGCTGCACTACTAGAATAGCCTTTCAAAGTGACTATTGAAAGGATAATCCTCTGTAAGAGTGGGATGGAGTCTATTATTACTAAACAAATTCACTGGCCCACCTTACAGGTAGATTACACACACCCACCCAATGACAGCAGACTTGCTCTAGCCAATGAGATGTGAGAGAAGTGATGTGGGTCACTTTAGGGTCGAAGCATCAAGAACCAGTGCATAGTCTGCCATATGCTTTCTCTCTGCCAGATTGTCCAAATGAAGCAATTTACTGTGAACCACCTGAATTGATTCAGAGGTTTTAACGAAAGGCATAGTGGCCATACCCTGGATTTGTTCCTTGCCTTATGGCCAAGTTGATTACAGCTTTGCCACTTAAAGGCCTTTCAATTTTATGGTTTGCTGGTTTCGTCATCTAACTCCACAAAGCTTTGAATTTTTGGACTGTCTGTTCCTTTCATCACACACCAGACAGAGGCAATATTCTGGATAGAGGATGCTGTGACTGCCAGGATCCCTGATGAAAGTGACATGGTGTGGAGTGGCAGCTGATCCGTAAAGGATATGTGGTGGGAATATCCACCAACATAACCCCCAAGAATGTTTGTTGTAACCCCCTTTGTTGTTGTAGCCCCCAAGAATGGGAGGAGAGGACCTTTTGTTATTCCAACAAAACCTGGTCTATACGGACTGATATAAAGAGGTATAGGAATTGGTGTGTGCATTAGTTTCTTCAGTCTGCCTTAATAAATTGCCACAAACTAGGTGACTTAAAACAACAGAAATTTATTCTCTGGCACTTAGTGTTAGAGACTGGAAGTTCAAAATCAAGGTGCCAGCAGGGTTGGTGGTTCCCAATGGAGGCCCAAGGAGAATCTGTTCCGTGCTTCTTAGCTAGTGCTGGTGGTTTCTGGCAGTCCTCAGTGTCTCTTGACTTGTAAATGCATCGCTCCAAACTCTACCTGCATCTCTCCGTGGCCTTCTCTCTTGTGTGTCTCTGTCTTCCCACGGTATTCTCCTCTTCGTCTATGCCCCAATTTCCTACCTACCAATCACTGGATTAGGGTCAACCCTAATCTAGCTTGAACTCATCTTTCCTTGATTACGTCTTCAAATATCCTACTTCCCAATAAGACCACATTCTAAGGTTCCAGATAGGTTTAGGGGACACTATTCAATGCAGTAGAGTATATTTGTGTCAGAGTCAGTCTCACCTTTTTTAAAAATTTTAAATAATCTCTTATTTACCTTTTTCCCAGCTTTATCGAGATATAATTTATATACAATGTATAACTTTAAAGTGTACATTGTAATTGTTTGATACACTACTATACTGTGAAATTATAACTACAGAAGGATAATTACTACCTCTGTCACCTCACGTAATTACCTTTTTTTGTATGTGTGTGGTGAGAGCATTTAAGATCTACTCTTTTAGCAACTTTCAAGTAACCAATATACTATTGTTAACTGTGTCACCCTGCTGTACATTAAATCACCAGAATTTATTCATCTTATAAGTGGAAGTTTATAGCCTTTGACCAACATCTCCCCATTTCCCTCACCATCCAGCCCCTGGCAACCGCCATTCCATTCTGTTTCTGTGACTTAGACTTTTTTAGTTTTCACATGTAAGTGATATACAGTGTTTGTCTTTCTCTGACTTATCTCACTTAACATGGTTCCCTTAAGGCCCATCATATTATCACAAATGGCCAGATTTCCTTTTTTCTCATAGCTGAATAATTCTCCATTGTATGTATATAACACATCTTCTTGATCCATTCATCCACAGATGAACACTTAGGTTGTTTCCATCACTTGACTATTGCAATGAAGTGCAGACCACTCTTTGAAATCCTGATTTCATTTCCTATGGATATATATACTTTTAATTTTTTGAGGACCCTCCACACTGTTTTCTGTAATGGCTGCACCATTATACATTCCCACCAAAAGCAAATAAGGGTTCCCCTTTCTCCACTTCTTAACCAACACATATTATCACTTGTCTTTTTGATAACAGCCGCTCTAACAGGTGTGAAGTGATATCTCATTGTGCTTTTGATTTCCATTCCCCTGATTAGTGATGTTGAACATCTTTTCACATACCTGTTGGCCATTCATATGTCTTCTCTGGAAAAATGTCTACTCAGTTCCTCTGCCCATTTTTTAATCAGATTTTCCCCCTTCTTTGAGTTCTTTATATACTTTGGATATCAACCCCTTCCCATGTGTATGGTTTGCAAATATTTTCTCCTATTCCATAGGTTGCCTTTTCATTTTGTTGATGGTTTCTTTTGCTGGGCAGAACCTTTTTAGTTTCATGTAGACCTTCTTATTTATTTTTGCTTTTGTGGCATGTATTTTTGGTGTTGTATTTAAGAAATCATTGTCAAGACCAATGTCAACGAGCTTAGTCCCTATGAAATATTGTTTTCAGGAGTAGAATTTAGTGATTCATTACTTGCATATAACACTCAGTGCTCAACACAATAGTTTCATTCTTTTGCATGTGATTATTCAATCTTCCCAACACCATTTATTGAAAAGATGATCTTTTCCCTATTAAGTATTCTTAGCTCCCTTGTCAAATGTTAGTTGATGGTATATAGTAGGGTTTATTTCTTGGCTCTTTATTTGGTTCCATTGGTCTGTGCGTCTATTTTTATGCCATACTGTTTTGATTACTATAGCTTTGTAACAGAGTTTGAAATCAGGAAGCATGATGCCTCCAGCTTTATTCTTCTTAGGATTGCTTTGGCTGTTCAGGGTCTTTTGTGCTTCATTATGAATTTTATGATTTTTTTATATTTCTATGAAAAATGACATTGGAATTTTGATAGGGATTGCACTGAATCTTCAGATGGTTTGGGGTAGTATGGACATTTCAACAATATTAATTCTTCTGATCTATGCACATAGACTATCTTTCCATTTATTTGTGTCTTCAATTTCTTTCATTGAAGTCTTAGTTTTCAGTGTACAGCTCCTTCACATTCTTGGGTAAATTTATTCCTAAATATCTTATTGTTTTTGATACTCTTGTGAATAATTTTCTTTATTTCTTTTTATGCTATTTCAATGTTTTGTATAAAAACACAATGGATATCTGTATGCTGATTTTGTATCTTGCTACTTTACTGCTTAGCAAGTTGATTAGTTCTAACAGTTTTCTGTGTGTGAGATCTTTAGAAATTTTCTTTATCTGAGATCATATCATCTTCCAATGGAGACAATTTACTTCTTCCTTTCTGATTTGGATACCTTTCATTTCTATTTCCTGCCTGACTGCTCTGGCTAGGACTTCAGTACCATGTTGAATAGGAGTGGTGAGAGTGAACACCCTTGTTTTGTTCCTGACCTTAGAAGAAAAGCTGTCAGTCTTTCATCACTGAGGATGATGTTAGCTTTGGGCTTGTCATATATGACCTTTATCATGTTGAGGTACATTCCTTCTATACCCAATCTGTTGAGTTTTAATCCTGAAAGGATGTTGTATTTTGTTAAATGCTTTTTCTGCCTCTATTGAGATGATCATATGATTTTCATCTCTCATTCTACTAATGTGATGTGTCACATATATTGATTTGTTGCACCATCCCTGCATTCCGGGATAAATCCTTTTTCTTTTTAAAATTTTTTTTTAACGCTTATTTATTTTTGAGACAGAGAGAGACAGAGCATGAACGGGGGAGGGTCAGAGAGAGGGAGACACAGAATCTGAAACAGGCTCCAGGCTCTGAGCTGTCAGCACACAGCCTGATGTGGGGCTCGAACCCACGGACCACGAAATCATGACCTGAGCCAAAGTCGGCTACTTAACCGACTGAGCCACCCAGGCGCCCCATTGTGTGTGATCCTTTTAATATGCTGTTGAATTTGGTTTGCTAATATTTGGTACAGAAGTTTTGCATCTATTCACCAGGGATACTGGCCTGTAATTTTCTTATCTTGT